TACATCTTCACCTCTGTTACATACAAAAGTCAAGCGCAGGAAAGAAGAATAAAAGACATCTCCACTTGCTTCTGTAGAGTCCACAGAGAGTCTTTGTAAGTGTGAGTGGAAATGCATATTTCCTCCTAACAGAACAACCTTAACTGTGCCCCCTAGCGTACTCAGAATAATATAGATGATACTGTTTTTAGTTCTCTTTTGAGATTTTTTAAGGTTTTTTGATTTTTAAGCCATAAATTAAGTGTAGGTTCTTTGCTTTCCATGAAACTGGAGCAGTGTCACAGGTACTTGATTACCCACAGGGGATTTATCACAGTTTGCATTATCTGTGGTGTGGCTGCAGACACCAGAACTGGCTTGGGACCAGCAGGCTTTCTTAGTTTGGATGCAGTGCTACAGAAATCCTGCTATATTGCCTGTAGAGGTAGTGAAGGGTAACAAGCAGTTTCACTGCTCTCCTGTGGCGCAGAATCTGTTTGTAAGCCTGGTGGATGCAAGGCAGCTCTGTGCAGAGCCAGCATTCAGCTGAGTGACGGTGCCTGCTGCTCGCTGTGTCTGGCAGGGTGTCTAGCTCCAGCTCAGCCACGCTGGCTCTGAACGGAATCATTGCTACACCTCTGTATGGCAGCCCCCAGGCCCACAGGAAAACCCTTTTGTTTCACACACAGCACCTCCAGTACGTGCAGGGCCAACAGGGACCTGCAGCTGCAGACCTGAAACGGACAGGCACACTGATGCAATGTTGCTTTCAGGGAACTGAGAAATTCTATTGACTCTTGGTTTGGGTAGCCACAGTGAGTTACATGCCAACATGCAACGATCAAATGTGCAACTTTGACTTGACTCAAAGCCCTTGTTTCGCTGCTAGAGCCAGATTCCCATCTCTCCGACGTGTCTTTGATTTCTTCCAGCTCAAACGTTCGGGACAGAGGAATCCTATTGCATTACAGAGCCAAGTGAGGAATGCTGCACAGTTATTTGGGGCTGACAGGATTTCAGATTCATACTCTTAGGATGCTGATAGCTTGCTTGTACAGTATAAGCTGGATTTCCAGGATGGAGCCTAGAGATGATTTTGCTGAGGAAAGTTTTGGTCCTTCCCCTTTCCCCAAGATGTCCTTTTAGCAAGTGCTGCAAGGAGCCCTTTGGCCAGAGGCACAAAGCCACCTTTATAGCAGGGATTCTGTTTGTTTTGGATAACCAAGTAACAGAACTATTGGCTCTACCAGAAAAAGCCCTTGGAAGCACGTGCTTCTAAGCTTGAATCCATGCTTCCTCCTCCTTCTCCTCCTCCTCCTCCTTCTCCTTGCCTCCTTTTTCCAAATCACAAACAGCTGAAAGCTGGAAAGCACCAGCAGTTCCAGGGAAGGAGGTGTGATGCTCTGGGACCCAGCTGGGGTTATGATATGACAGGACAATAAAGCCCTGAGTGTTAATGAGGAACACCAGAGAACTACCAATTACCACTCATGTTCCTTTGCTTCTGGTTCAACCATTCTACAGTGTTTCTCCCATCTCTCCCTGGTGAGCTGTAGATTGCTTATAGACTGCACTGCAGCCCTGGCTGAGACCCTCTGCAGCACACTTCTGGATTTAGTATTCCCTGCTGTATGGGGATCTATTTACAGCAGGAACTTCCCAGTGTTCACTCTACCCCTGCACAGTTATTCCTATATGATGCAGAACGAGTGCTTCCTATTTTTTCTCTTGCACGTGAATGCAAATTTATTTCAAGGAGTGGGAATGAGCTGGTAGCTCCTGTGACTGACATTTGAAATGGGATTTGTGTCACCTGCGGTTCAGACCTTTACAGCTGGAGTTCATTAGCTAGCTCACTGTACAGGTAGCAGAGAGAAGCAGGACTTCTGAGATGCACTGCTTCCCCTTCTCAGGTCTGCAAGTGCTGCAAACCAGGTGTCTTGCCTTTAGGAGGTGTGTTTCAGTCTCCAGTCCCACAGTAGGTGAGCTGAATTCACCCTTTAGTGCTTGAGAGGAGGCAGCAGGACCTCATGGCAGAAGCAGAGCACTTTCATTGATGCAGTAGAATAAAGGCTTGCTACCCTAGCCTGACCGGAATAGATCCCAAGCATAGAATAAGCTCTGTTTCCATCTATATTTCCTTTATAGCATCCATTTCCTCAGGGTCTTCACTACTTGTAATGCATTAAAGGGAGAAAGGCACTTCCTAAACCTGATAGGGTCTCTCCTTGTCCCTGGCTGGAGTTCCCTGGGCTATGGGAGGGCTGGAACTCCTTAAAAACCGTGCATAGATGGGAGAGGAGAAGTTGCTGGCACAGTAAAACCCTGATAATGCGTAAGATCTGCTGGGTGATCCATCTGCAAACTGCTGCTCTGGCTTCATTAAAAGCCTAGCCCGTGGCTGTCACTCAAATAGGCTGGATTCACCTTGGGTTGTCTAAATGAGAATGATTGTTTCTGTGATTGGGGAAAAAAAAAAAGAAAGAAAAAAAAAGGTGAAACCAGTAGGAATTATTTTTTTATGAATTATGTGTTCAGCTTTTGTACTGACCTATTGAGTCAGCATTGAGAGTTGGATTTCTTAGAACAGCCTTTCATGCTGGATTTTGGATATTTTCTTCTTTTCAGCTCAGAAATATCATTAGAATGGCCTTTCTCATGCTAAGGGACACTGTGGACTCCAGCTGCACGTTGGATGCAGAGGAAATAATAGGGTTTAGAAGCTGTTATCCACAGCATTCATCATCCTGGTTCCCAGCATTCTTCTGTGGCTCCCTCCTGGTCAGGATTGAGCACGTCAGCTTCCAATGCATATAACTTCATGGCATCTTGATTAGGTAGAGAAGTGTTAATGTCTGGTGTGGAAACAAGCACTGAAATTGAACAGCTAGCTCTGACAACAGAGTGATGAGCCAATTTAGGGAGCTAAACTGATAAACATTATTCCTTCATAACTCCAGCTTTTTGTCTTTTTAGCTGCTTGAACTGACTCACTGTGGGAGCAGAGGCTGGTCCCTGATATTGGCAAGCGTGGCAGGTAATGCTGCTAGGAGTGGCTGCAAAGACAACTCCTTGAAGAGCAGCAAGCAGTTACATGGACCTAGCCGTGCAGGCACATAGCATGCCTGTGGCCAGATCACCCACATTAGATACTTCCCTGATGCACAGACAGCCTCTTGGTAATCACTTTCCCCTGCAGAGGTGATGGGGCCACCCATTGAATGTGCCCACCTTTCTGCACAGGGGCTCTGGGGTTGTTCAGCTCTCAGGAAGTTCTGGCTCCTCCCTGCAGTTTTGGTCACCACTATAGGTAAGGATGAAAATGTGGCAATGGGGCTGGGCTCTGCAGCCTCATCTGATTCGCAGTAGTTGTGTTTACTCCCCACGTTCCTCTGCTTTTTGTTTCCTTCTATTAAATCCAACTAAGACACTGTGTCACCAGATTGCAGGCTAAGATGCAAAGCAGCCAGGCTGCAGGCGCTTTCAAACCATGGGGAGGTCTCTGGAGATGACCCAGCTGACAGCCCTGAGCCTGTCTGCTTCATTCACACACAGCTGTCCACATATTTCATTCCTCCAGCAGCAGCAGCAGCATTGCTGTGTGAGGGGAGCAGTGATTACTATTTCTCCAGGCAAAGCTCTAGGGCAGGAAGCCACGGAGTGTGGCTGTCAGGCCTCTGTCCTTCCTTGATTTGCCACGTGGGAGAGAATGTCAGGTGTGTTGGGGTCTCTGTTTTCAGGGTGATGTTGAAGTGACAGCATTTGCCTCGTGGTGAGTGACCAAGCTGTCTTCTTTGTGTGTCCCTGCAATCCATTTTCACTGGAGAGGCTGCTCTCTCCTGTAGAGGCATGCATTAATCATCAGATTCTGCAGCTCGGAGCAGCTGCATTGAGTCCATGGCTGTGTTGATCTGCTCTGGATGCTGCAGATGTGGCGGAGCCTGTCCTGCATTGAGGTTTTGACAAGGCTGCATCCAGATGCTCCCTTCATCAACTGTGTTAATGGGAAGAGAGACCAAAAGTGGCCTCTGTGCTGAGTCACATAGGGTGACCATGCTATCCAGAACCAAGCTCTCCTTCTCACTGTGGCATATTGCAAGGTAAGAGAAGCCAAACCTGAGCAGATATGTAGCTTAGAACAGAACTCACTGGCATGCCCACTGTCATCGCAAAGCTGGGCATAAAGGAGCCAAGCACTTACAATGTCTCCACAGTACACATCCCCCAAAATAGTAATCCATCAAGTAATTCTTGACTGCAGGTGTGACTTCAGTGATGGAACACCCAGTTTCCACAGAGAGGTACAAGAGGGCTGTAAAAAGCCTTGGCACTAGAGAGCTGGCTGTAGAACTCTGCTTGCCATTCCCTTTTTCCAGGTTTCTGAGTGTCCTTGCTAAGAGCTGCCTAATAGTTTTGGCATTTTTTCTTTTTCTTATGCTTTATATAAGCACCATTTCCTTTCCTTCATGTCAGACTGGAAGTGATGCAGCAGCTGGTACAAAAAAAAGTTGCATTACAACCTCTTCTAGAAGCCTCTACCGAGTTGAGGGCCATTCTTTCTTACATTTGATGCTTCCAGAGACTGCATCCAGCGTCCAGTAAAAAGATAACTTCTGCCACTGGTCAGTGCATCACATGTATTCAGCAGGAGCAGAAATCAAAGAAGGTCACTGCGGTTAAAAAGATGTAATGATGGAGTTTATTTCTGAGGCGTGGCTGATGTTCTGGAAATATTTGCAACCAATATCTTCTGTAAGAGGAGTTATGGAGCCTTCAATATAAATTGAAGGCAGAAATCAAAGGGCAAGAGGGGTGAGTGAATACAATTTTGTATTTTGGTTTTTAATCTGTTTTTCAGCTGGTTCTGCTCACATACAGTGACTGACCTGAGCTAGGCTGATGCAGCCTTTCCTGTTTCGTTAGCAATGCTCTTGACCCTGATAGTGCATCTAATTTTGCTGGGTTGGTTGGTTGGTTGGGGAGCTGCCATCTAATCTGCTCCCGGTTGTCCCTGCAGATCTTCCACATGACCTACGATCTGGCCAGTGCAGTTGTGCGGATCGTGAACCTGATTGGGATGATGCTACTGCTGTGTCATTGGGATGGCTGCCTCCAGTTCCTCGTGCCTATGCTGCAGGACTTCCCTGATGATTGCTGGGTATCCCTCAACCGCATGGTGGTAAGTGCTTGCCCCTCGTGCTCCCCAACCCACTGCTCACAGCATCACCTTTCAGTTCCCCATCTTCTGCCACCTCCTTTTAGGGCCTTTCTCCACTATCCAACAGGCACTGATAAAGCCACGTTGGGCCTGGGGACTCCTTGGGGACAATCTCAACAACAGGACAGTGTCGGGACTGCAGAGTAGAAACCAGGCAGCAGAGCCCCTGCAGCAGAAGGCAAGAGCCAGGCTCCCCCTCCTGGCAGGAGACAGCAAAGAGCAAGAATTAAGGTGTCTTTCCACTGAGATCTGGGCATATTGAGCCAAATGGGGGTCCTAGAGCCCTGGCTGGGTCTTAGGATCCATAAGATCCTAATTCCCATGGCTGGCCTCAAGGAAACTGCTCAGCCAGCTGCTCCATATCCACTTGAAGGATGAACGTGGTCACACTGCATGCTGCACAGTATTGCAGTAAAGTGGACTGAAATAGACTGCCGTGCCACAGTTTGGCCTCCCCTTGTAGGAACAATGGCCAGACTTCCCAGTGAGGTCCCAAGCTGTGCACTGTTGCTGTGAGGGAGATTTATACCATATGGTACGTGCGCAGGGATTTCGTGGTACCTTTCAGCCATCTCACCGAGAATTCAGGATCTTTTATTCAAAGGGACAATGTCCAGTTGATTAAGCAGCAAAAACTGACAAAGCTTAAAAAATTGCCTCTTATTGCAGCTCTTAACCTCTCGATTTCCCCAGCCAATTTCTTCTTTAAAAAAAAAAAAAATAATAATATCAGGCACTCGGGCAGAACAGAACAAATGCAAAATGTATAAAAGAACTGCCAGCTTCCATGGCTTCTGCATGCAGAGCTGTGGGCCCATGCTGCCCATGCCTGAGATGAGCGAGCAGCCGTCAGAAGTCCTCTGTTTGGGGGCTTGTTTGTTTATTTCTTCCCTCTGCAATAATCGTTCGTTTCCTGCTGTTGAAAGGTGTCAGACTGACAGTTCTGGAGACTACAGCCCTTTATTTATCTACATCAGAAGAACAACCCATGCAGCAGCTGCCCTGTCTTCCCTGTGCTGCTTTTTTATTATTTATATGACAGGAGCAATGAAAGATCAGGGCCCCATTGTGCCTGTGCTATTTGGGTTCAAAAGGACATAGAGCTCCTTGTCTTGGAGAGCTCAGAGCTGCAGACAAATCATCCCCATCAGATGAACTGACTTGGCCCTGGAGTCCTTGCACAACAGTTCTGGAGCAGCAGATTTGAGCCATGTTTCCTTATTCCTGATGTACTGGACCCTAATAATTCCTCCTCTTTCCACTTACTTGGTCCAGTCTTCTGGCTGAAAAACTGCTCACTAACCAAATGATCACTGAGCATATGTTTTTGTGCACTGAAAGCTTGGGTGACAACCGCAACAAAGGATTACCACCTCATATTCTTACTGCTTAGCCTGCACACCTTTCTCAGCTGCAAGTCTGAGAACAGAGGGAGAAGGATGCAGAGGGCTCAGCAGAATCTCCAGGAAGCAGGATAGAAACTTTCTATTCAGAGCAGGGCTGTGCCAGGCAAGGACTCATGCTGCAGTACTTGTCTTCCCATCCTGTGAAGCTGGGAATTAAATTTGCCTTGTGTGATTTTTTTTTTTTTTCCTCAGCTTCTCGTCTGCAGCAAAATCACCTTAATTTTTTTCACTTCATAACAGTGAAAAAAGTGATGATCTCAGTGACTGTCTCAGAAACAGAATCTCAGGAAAATGGGATGAAGAACTGGAGAGATGGTTATGTGTTCCACCTATAATTTAGGTGGCTTCTATTCCAAAGTTGTTCCGGAAAATGCCAGCCCAAAAATAACTTAAGAACATTTTAAAAAAGTATATATGGAATCAGAGAGTTTTTTCTCACGATAAGGTTCTGTTCTCTTATCTCCTGAGAAGACTTCCAAATGTGTCAGTGGTAGCCTCTTGACTAGAGATGGAAGTGAACGGCGTAATTAGTGCAACAATTTCCATATAGTCCATTGTGAAGTAATGGGAGAGTCAGGAAACAGCAATAAAACCAGCAGCCTGGGCTGTCCTCAGGCTTTGGTGCAAAGGTATTGATGCTGGTTTGCAGAATGGCTTTGTGTGAGATGTGATGGACGGCGGGTGGGAGGACAGCATGGCTTCTGTTGGTGCCAGTTGGTAAGTTGGATGTGGGGTCTTTTAGTTCTGACCTGGGCACAGCTGTGAGGGGAGAAGTATTCTTGGTGCACAACTGCCGTGATTGCATGCAGGAGCCAAAAAGCTTTCCACTCTAGGTTAAAAAAAAATGAGTTGTGAAGCTGCTGCATCCGAGGGGAGGTGAACAGGAGCTGCCAAATGCTTTGTGGGCTTTCTCCTTGAGTGCTGTTCATCCGCCATGCCAGAGTTTCCCACCTAGCTGCTTGGCAGTCCATAAAACAGCTCTGACTCCGATGCAGTGGGAAAAGAAGATTCATCACCTTCCATCTGCTTTCTAAAGGTTTGATCCTCTTCCAAGGGATCTGTGAAGCATCTGGTGTTGCCAACATCGTATCAGGGGCTCGATAAATCCCTGGGTCCAGTTCATCTTGTTATTTTCTATGTGTTCCATCCTTCATCTTCAGCAATTGTAGGAATGGCTATCTTTTCCTTCTTTCTGAACTGTCTCTGAAATGGCAGGGATGGATGTTTCTGGTATTAATTGCTCAGCCCCAGTCTCAGGGGTTTTGGCGCTAGCTTCCCTACAGGGCACTTTATTAAAAAGGGAAACACTCGTGAGTCAGCTCCAGAGAGGCATATGTGCAGGCAGCAGCATCTCCCCACGATGACCCTGGCAGCTCCTCGTCGGAGAAATCTGAGCTCTGCTGAGACCTGAAAGCTGCTGGAAACACGTGGCTTGCTCTCTTGGGTGTTGTGCTGAACTGATAAACTCAGCAGGGAAGGCAAATATCCCCATGTCAAATGCAGCGACCTTGCATAGGAAATACTAATCATCTTCCCTTCTACCAGAAGGAGAGTAGCTCCCCCTTTGAGCATACCACCCCCATCCCATGACACATTTTTTGGTGTTGCTGATGGAAAGTAGGAAGAGAAGCTGGTGCAGCATGTAGGGCGGAAGACAGAACAGTCTGGCATGATCTTCTGGGTGATTCCCAACTCTCTCCAAGCCTCAGGTCCAGCAGCTCCCTCACACTCTCACTCAGTAGGCTTATGAAGCTGTGCAGTTTCATGTTTTATAAAAGCTGTCAGGGAGGAGCTGCAAGGGTAGGGCTGCTCTATGATAGTGTATGAGCCAGCAAGCAAGGGTGAGTCCAGCACAATGCCCTTACCAGCTGGACCTAAACAGGGTAGGAAGAGCAGAATTGGTGATTAAAGGGTCCATGGACTATTCCAGAGAAGGCAAGGTGATAACCATAATGTCCAGCATCCATCCACGGAGTCCAGTTAGGAGCAGCAAGATAAGGGACCAGAGGCTACAGCAAAATTCAAGGCCTGCTAGGGTTTGGGGCTGGGCAGACGTACAGCCCTGACATAGCTCAGACAAGGACTGGGTGACCAGGCTGAGCTCTGGTGGAGCTCCCGAAACACTGGGGTCATGGATGGGGGTCCCACAGAGACCTGGGCAATGAAGATTTTCTGGTGCACTCAAAGTCCTGAGAAAACCTTTCATAAGACAAAGGCCATGCAAAGCTCACCCCGGAAATAAGCCCAGAACAGGCAGGTGCTATCCAATATGAAGTTTGACCCATCATCTTCATTTCTGGTCCCACTGCTGCTGTCCTCTAAACTCCATCTGACGGTGTTTTCCCTACCTAGCAGTTGTGGTGTTGTCCAGGGGAGGGCAGTGATGCTCAGAGGCCTTTATTCTGCAGCACAGCACAAATGGTGTGCAGCAGCAAACCTGGAGTTTGCTCTGAGGGCACATAAAATCATTGCTGAGCCAGATGTGGGAGTTCACAAAGTGCCTCGTGCCCTGTTTGTCTGGGCTGATAGTCTCAGGTGTGAAGTGCCTGCAAACTGCAGCTCATCTGAGTAGGATTATATATGGAAGGGGATTGGATGCTGAGTGAAATACTCTCTTTCACTACGGACAGGTTCTTAAAACTTAGAAATGGTAGTGGTGTATATGGCAGGCATAATGGTGTGCCCGTGGATTGTGCCTCTACACCAAGAATTTACCAGTACTTTCCAGTTTTTCCACTGCTCTCTTTAGTCCTGTCTAGTGGGGGTTCAGCCAGATGCACTCACATGTTCTTCAGATCAAGCAAAATCCTGTGAGACCCTCTACTGTTTCTTTAGGTGCTTCTCTAAGGTACTGCTGAGCACAACGCTGCCTTTGAAGAGTTTCAGCAGTGTGCTTCCAAGTATTCAAGAGTGGAGACAGGAGCAGAGGCATTGAAGTCCAGACACTAATCCCAAAGAAACCCTTATAGTCCTGCCAGTGTGGGTGTTAAAAACAAGCTAGTTTGAGAAACCACTTCAAAGTCATTTTAACTCCCATTTGCAAATGCTCATAGTGCCTGGCATGCGTTTGAGATAACATCCCTCTTGACGATGTTCGAGCACAGATCTGTAGCTCCATTTTAGCTTGCTTTGAGATTTGGTTAAGGAGGAGCCGTGTTCTTTCTGCGCTTTGAGGGCCTCGTTTATCTACCTTAATGGATCATTTTAGCCACTAGGGTGTATTTGTAGTACAGTCCTCCACTACAGGGGCTGGTTTGGTACAGGGGCAAGTACAGGGCACTGTGATGCTGATAAGCTTCTGATCACGTTTGGAACCAGTGCTGCTTCTCTGTATTGCATTCTTGGCCTGCCTGTTTATTCTGTGGGAAACAAAAGGGTGTAGAGCAGGTTTGAAAAATAAAGATATACTCAGACTTCTAAGGAAAGACGGTGCTGTGAGGATCCAGTGCTCCTTACAGATGCTCAGAGGTTGTGTCCTAAAGGTAACAGCTTTGGAAGATTCTTCCTTCATGGAATTGCCTCTCTTTTAGCAGTCCTTGATCTCTCCTCCCAGCAGCCCAGGCTGCTCAGGACCATTGTAAACACCCTGTGTTTTCTCCAGTTCTTGCCCCTCAGCCTGTCATTACTCAGCCTGGCACAAAGCAGGCTGTCCTCGCAGGGAGCCATGCTGCTGATGGAATCTGAGGTCATTGCTCATAACTACAGAGTTCTCAGGGAGCTGGAAGTGTTTCTGCAGGCTGCTGGGGCTTGTTGGTATTGGACATCATGGGTTTGGATGACTGATTTCTACACTGCAAGCCTCCTACACCCAAAACTTTGTTGGGAACTGTTGGCTCCTGCTTACCTAGGTGGGAACCAAATCCAGGGTGGTTTAGTGACTTGCCTGCTCCTGAACAGCAAGTTGCTAGAAGAATGACTCTCAAAACTTGAACCTGACTGATGCCCAGACTCTCCTCTTTGATCATTCACAGTTATGAAAGACCCTGGCAGCCGGGTTCCTGATGTCTGATCATCCAGCTCAGCTGATCTTTTTCTGTCTTCCCAGATTCCCTTTGGAATTTCAGCTCAGCATTTCTTTTCTCCCTGCCCTCAATTCTGTTACAGAGATGTGCTGCCCTGTTAAACTACTGCCACACTGAACTCAGAAGGCAGCAGCATTTCCAGGTATCACGGGAAAGGTATTTGCTTTGAGAACCTTCTGGCTAAGAAGTAGAACTGGCCTGAGAGGGCAAGAGGAGAAGAAATCACGCTCCTCTCCATCAAGCCAAGTACACACCTCTGTCCTTTCTCTGCCAGACTTACCTATTGGCTCTGTAATAGAAAGGCAGGCTGGGGCATACTTAACCACTGTGCTTTTCTCAGTTTGTGTTTGGTGCTGGGACTGACTCTTCTCCTTGCCTTGTCAGACTTCTCTCAGGGAGCTGCATTCAGCCCTGTATAGGCATCAGAGTACAGGTGTTCTTTGCCTTCCCCTGTAGCTGACTCCCCCTTTGGGCTGCAGCTTCTCACACACAGAGGCAGGCCATCTGCATTCCCAGGAGTAGAGACCCAAAGGCCACATTATCTTTCCTGTGGGCTCAGGGGGAGATTTTTCCAGTGCAGGAGGTGAACTGGTTCCTGCTTTGTTAGGGAGGTGAGCCCAGACAGGCTGGCGCCAGTAGGGAGCCATCCCTCCTGGGACCCTGGATGTGCTGCTGCTTCTGCGTCCGCTTTGCTGTCACTTCTGTTGCTTTGCCCTTCTTGTTGCAGTGTGAATCAGGCCTGCTTGCATAATGTAACTGGATATGGCTAAGGTAACACTGTCGCCTGTCTTTGTCCATGTGCTTATCTCCTACACAAGCATTAACACTGACCAGAGGTTCCAGCTCTTTGCCACAGCTCACAAACATTAACAGTGCTCTTCGGTTCTGTTTACTACTTGTCAGCTTACTGAAAAATTTCCATCAACATTAGTGACACCCAGAGAGCTGGTTTTTGTAGACAGGTCATCAGCCATTCACCTGACTGTGATAAGATCCCTCCAGGGAGGCATCCAGTAAACTCCAGGGCTTCCCGCATTGCAGGTCACCATTGCTGAGCCTGCTGTGTTTCTCTGAATGGAGTTCACAGAAGTATTGCTCACCCATCTGATGAGCCCCAAACCAGGTCTTCTGCACAACGACCTTCTGAGTTGCTATGCTGTCTGTATCTGCACAGCTATATCCAAAGTGTATATCCAGCACCTTCCTAGGAACAGGAAGAAGACTGATGAATATACAGATGATGTGCTGTGATGAATGTCACTGTAGCAGTGGTATTTTTTCACACGTCTTGTAATAGCAGTGTGTGATGACAGTGCATTTACTTTACAAGGTTTTGTGGCAAGGACTTGCTAGCATATAATACCCACAAGGTAGTAAATGTAGCTTGTGCTGTTCCATGAGCTCAAACTAATCAGAGTAGTCCTGAAACTTATGTTGTCTTTCTCTCCCTTTTGCATGATGTAATCGCTGAGGTGCTTCTGCTGTTCATTGTGGTGGGAGAGCACAGCATGTCTGAAAGAAGCCATTGATTTCATCTGGCTTCTCACTGTGGTTTATTGCATCTCTCAAATGAAGCCATTTGTAGTTTGTTCAGCTCCCTGAAAAGGCCCAGTTTGACCCTGCAAAGAACTCTCTGCCTGGACATTATCATCTTAATTTTCTGCCCTCCCCATCTCTTCAGGTAACGACCAGAGACCCTGGGCATTTCATAAACTGCTGGGGAGTAAACGATTTTCCCTGCTTTAAGACCCCACTGCTGAAAGGTTTGCTCAGGCTCTCTTCTAGCAGTTCTCTGAAAAATCCATTTCTCAGTGGAGCGATCATTTGCATCAGTCCCTTTTCCCACACGTGGGTCATTTGGAACGCATTGCAGTGCATCATCTCAGTGTATCCCAGCTTAGCAAAGTGTCAGTCAGGATTCCTTTCTGAAAGCTGTGCTAGAAAGAATGCATGGAATCTGTAAAAACCCTGACCAAAGTCAGTTATTGTCAGATGACTAAATGTAGGGTTTGTATATGTATCCAGTGTGCCCAACACTTCTAAGCCATCACATTGTTTGTTCAAAACACAGAGGTGCTCTGAATACGGACTTTGAGTCTAACGTTAGGCATCATTTTCTGAAATGTGTTCATCTCAGTGAATGTCTTGTCCCACTGCTAAAGCTTTGTCTGTCTATCTGTCTCTTTAGAATGACTCCTGGGGGAAGCAGTATTCCTATGCGCTGTTCAAGGCAATGAGTCACATGCTCTGCATTGGGTATGGGCAGCAGGCACCCGTTGGCATGTCAGATGTGTGGCTCACTATGCTGAGCATGATTGTCGGTGCCACCTGCTATGCCATGTTCATCGGCCATGCCACAGCCCTCATCCAGTCTCTGGACTCTTCACGGCGTCAGTACCAGGAGAAGGTAAGGACTGGGCTTTGCAACCCTTCTGTCACCTAGGGGTGGTTTACGCATCGTCTGGAGGAGATGAGGGCTATGAGTGACCCATACAAGAGGCCAAAAGTGCAGTGTCTTTGTCACTACTGTAGCTTATTGGTATTTCATAACTATTTGTTTACCCAACAGAACCTCAGAAGGAAGTGGATGCAAGATCCCATGAATAACAGTAGGGCAAGTGGGGGATTATTTTGTCCGTGACTGTTTTAGATTGGCATTATCCATGTCGGTGGTATCTAAAATTCTAAGTCATTTTCTGACATCTTTTTTCAAATCCTGACTAAATGTTCAGAGTGTGCAGCTTTTGTTTAGCAGCACTTCCTTTAAAAGTATCCAGATTAATCACATCAGTGCTCATGAGTGAAACTACGTAACAAACCCAAAGCACAGCTCAAAGCTCAGAAGCACCAGGTAGGTTCCCCGGGTAGCTATGGAATTAATTGCAGTTGCTGAGTTGCATAATGTAGGACACAGACAGAAATGTCACCACTGATCAGATTACCACTGCAATTAGCAGTAGCTTCTGGTGGTGGTTTTAAGGTGATGCTGTGAGTTTGTAAGATGTTATGGAGCAAACGGGGTCGCTCACCATGATGATGGTGCAGATGGTGCAATGATATTTTTCCTTCTAGGACACAGGTGAGCAGGGCTTCTGCCTCAAGTTCTGGCTGAACCAGCATCTCCACAAAACGGGAGAACTTGTTGAAGAATGACTGTGTGTCACTAAGAGCAAGGGCTTGGAGGGCTCAAGAGTGTTATGGTCAGGGTTATATGGGTTATATTTGGTCTTAAGAAGAGGAAGAACGAGGTGCTAGTCCTATTCTGACATTGCTTCTTGTTAATTAAACTAGGTAGCTATTGTTCAATCATGTGAAGTATGGCTGGCATGCGCTGGCTTAAAAAGAGTGAGTTTGAAGCTGTTGCTTGGGAGGAGGTGAGAGAAAGGACGTGCAAGATGGGCTAGAACAAGTCTGATACACTGGGATTACAGTGCTGGGCTGCAGAAGGACCTTGCAGTAGAGCAGAGACTGAAAGCAAAGCCCAGAGGCTGAATCATGCTCTGAGGATGGAATATCTGAAACCGCAGCTGGAGCTAAAAGAAAAGGTCCAATTGAAGATGAGTGGAGGACTGGGTTACTTCTTGCTTCTGTGTTCCAGATTGGCTGGACTAAGGCTAATTGAAAGGAAGGCATGCCAAAGAGAAGGACACTGCAGCACTAGGAATGCAAGCTGATCAAAATCTGTGTGTGCAGAGTATTTATTCAAATTTGTTTGAAGTAGCATAGAAGTCAAGGACTGATTTGCAAATCCAGCCACCTGGTCAACCGAGCTGCAGCCAAGTTTACACCTGCAGGACAGCGCACTGCAATTTTTTCCCCAGCCAGGTCTGGAGACAAGGGCAGAACTCGTCCGTAGATGTTTGACTCTTGTCAGTGCTCAGGGAAACCAGCCACCAGAAAGCCAGCAGGGACTGCAGCTGGGGTGGCAGAAGTGTGAAATGTTAAATAAAGCCTGATTAGAATGTGGAGATGTGAATAAGAGGGTTAATAGATTTGGGAGAGGAGCTTTTTGACAAAAGCAGTGGATGGAGGGTTTAACAAAGGATATATTTCATGTGTAGTGGTTACAGCAGGTTCATTTCACAAGGTATTCTCTTAAGAACAAAGCCTCAGGGACTGAGTACATTCAATTTCCTCTTGCAAATGGGACAAATGATGGTCTAAAAACAAATATGTATTTACTTTCTGCATTCCTTAGCACTTGAATAGCCATGATTAAAATGAGGCCGCTTCATGATTTGCAGCCCTGCAACTCAATTTAGTTCAGTCCTCATGGGACAACGTGGCTGTTGAAGCATATTATAAGCAAAGAATCTCAACAAGTTGGCAGGGTCGACTGGAAGAAGCACACAGCAGTTTGGAGGCTGCTGCTGAGTACACCTTCAGGCTGCAGACAGGGCTCTGCATCTCACCTCAACAGCAGCTCTGGCTGCAGAAATTTATCAGCTGTTCTAGGAGTGGCCAAAGAAGGAGGCAGTGGGGAGGGAGAGGAGTGGCAGAAATGAATGTAATAACAGAACAGAAAGGAATAGCTAGATACCTTACTTTATGTAACCTTCAAGACAAAGTTTGGGAGAGAGCTTGCAGTGAAGTTTCAGACTGATTGTTTTTTCTGCCAAACCAACTTGTTCTTCTCTTGTACAAACAGGGTTTCTGAGAAGGGAAATAAAAGACAACGTGTGCTGTCTGTTGGCTTCACCAGCAGGCTTGTCTCAATAAACAGGACGTGATTTGGTCCCGTCTTTCACTCTTGATTAGATTCATTTGGACACACTCCCTCTTTTGTCTAAACGTCCTCCTGTAGGAGATACCTGAACTTCATGCCACGCCGGTTCTGCAAGGCAAAGAGGCCATACAGGATCAATGGGTTGATAGGAACCATGAAGATACTGGAGACAGAAGTTGAACCCTCCAAATCAGTGTAGTGTCAAGGTTCCTGAGTACAAGTGGAGAGTCTCGTGTGGTACAGAGCACTCCTACCAGCTCAGGCACTGAAGTGGCACAGCCTTCGTGGCTCTGTGCCATCCCTAAAAAGCTCTGAGTCAGAATAGCTCGTTAGCTCTGGCACTCTGAAATGGCTGTCTTATTTCCAGTCCCAGTGGCAAAGTTAGAAGTTCTGTCCTGCATTGCAGAGTGTGTTTCGCCCTAAATGATTTGCCTGCAGTCACACAGCAGAGACAATAGCAGGCTCAGGAGCTGACTCCTGTCTCAGAGCTAGTGTCTAGCTCAAAATTACATTTGCACCCATAACTGCTGTCCTTTTTCTTACATTTATATGATGGGAAAATATTACCAGTCCGTCTCAAAGGCTTCTGATAGAAAAATTTCCCAACATCTTGGTAAAGAGTTAGCATTTTGTCAGTGAATCTCACAGCTCTGAGCAGAGGGGAAGCCTCACACACCTGCTCTCACCCAGTGCTCCCTGCCTCTACTCCCAGCTGTTCAGTTTCACTCTGTTGCTCTACTCTCATGCTTCTCTGCTGAGCTGATTTCTCTCTTCTGGCTTAGTTTTGTTTTCTGCTAGATCAGCAGGCTGAATTGCTGCACATTCTAGCGAGTGCCAGAGCTGGTGCAGGGTAATGACAGAGAGGAGGTCCACAAGCAGGAGTAGAGGCTTGAGGCCCCTTTCAGCTGTTCTTGGATCAGTTCAAACCTTAGCATCTAAATTTGTCATTGACTGCAAAATTGCCATACAATCTACATTAGCTGTGGCTCACAAGAGAAGGAGAGTGTTTTGGGCCCAGGAGATGAGCAAACTAGGCTGATGTGCAAGTTATTTTCCTCCTTGGTGCTGGTTGCCCTATTAATTTCCTTCTCTAATCCTGAAGCTCAATTGGATTAATATTTATGTCAAGTCACCACAAACACACACACTCATCCTCCCCAGTTGGCTCTGTAACCTTGAGGCTGTTGGTGATCGTGCTGCTTACTGCAGCCATGCTCATTGGAACAAAGCAGGGAGAGACTCTGGATTTCACTCTCCCATCGCAGCAGGATGCAGGCAGTAATGGGCATCCTGCAGAGAGGCTTGGCTCTCCCGCATTATCTTCTCAGGTACATGCAGAAGAATGACTGATGATAGGTAGGAATTGCTGCTGTCAGCATTGCAGAGCCCAGCAAAGCTGTAATCTCTCCTGCCAGAGCCTCATCTCTACTCGAGATCTGTCTCTGGTATTCTCCCGAGCTCTCTGTTCTCCAGATTCATTCCCCTGCTCCCCTTCCCCTAATAGTCTATCCAGTTCTTCTTGTTCCTAAAATACAGATAAAAACTGGGGAAATACTTACATATTCATATCATTATTCTTAATAATCACCTGCTGCAGCACAATTGCAAGGGGCAGCATTAAAAAGAGAAGTGCTTTCTGAATCCTGCAGAAGCGCTCATGATCTCAGTGCCTGAAACAGCTGTGTAGTCACCATTATCACAGCCCTTCTTGTACAGATTCATCCATGGTCTGGCTGTCCAAGCCAGCTCTCAACATTTTTGGTCCTCATCCTGCTGTCATTGGCCTGAACTCACCAGAGAGGATTTTGATACTGACTATTGGGAAAAAAATAGTGATTGTAAAGGCTGAAGCATAGTACATGGAACATACAGTCTTTGTTGGAGGGCAAAGCAAATGTTGGACCAGTATTTGTCAAGGAAGAAGTGAGAAACTCGTGTTAGGGGAGAGTTTGAACCTGGTGATCTCATAAGGTCCTTTCTGTAGCACCACTGTGCTTCAGTGCTACAAAGGGAGCTGGGGATCCATCTCCTGGGCACAGTCAGTCTTTGCCCTTTCCTGGGGACCAGAGTACAGAGTCTTAGTAGGCAGAAGGTTTAAGAAAGGATTTTTTCTTCTGGTAAGTAATTAAACTTTAGAGCTGCTGCTACAGGGCACTGAAAAGGCCCAAAGTTTAATGAACTTCAGAATACTTAAAGAAATTCACACAAGGAATATCTTCCAAGTATTATTGAATGCCCAGGTGCAGCTTTAACTCGTGGCAGTGGGTAACCCTCATCTGCTTTTGTCAGAAGCTAGGAGGGTATGGCCATGATCTAGGCTACTGTGTGCCTCTTTTGATCTTTCTCCTTTTCCTCAAAGCATCTGAAATTGTTGAAGAAATCACCTTTTGTGTGTCTTTATGCTGTTGTGCTTTGCAGTTTTCTCAACTGGCTCCAAGTGAACGTGTGCAAGAAGTTCAGTGCAGAGATCCTAGCTGGGGTCCTGGATAGAGTATAATCACATTAGCCTGGCAGCATGCCCTTGCTTATTAGCTCCCCTCCCTCCCCTTCTCTAAGCAGAGCTAATTAACCCAAGCACAGCACTGCACCGAAGCTATATTAATTCTTGTGGCTCCAGGGTTGGCTTAGCTAGTGCTACCTTAGGGATGACATGGCACAGACCTATGAAGATAACTTATGTC